TAATCAAAAGAGAATTTGTAACTGTAAAGGAGGGCTGTCTTGTGTTTGAACACAAAGTTGAAAAAGAGCTCAAGAGCTTAGAGAATAGGTTAGACGACATAGAACGTAAATATAAAGAGAAAATAAGCCAAATGGAATGTAAAATACAAAAATTGGAAGCTACCGTAAAGGGTAATGAGAGAAAGCAAAATTCTCCCAATAATGTTCATGAAAAGCCATCTCGGATGGCTGAATATCCATTTGAAAAGGAGACAACAATAATTGTACTAAATGTTCCACAAAAGGAAAATGAGAATATATCCGAAAAAATAAAGGTATTGATGAGGGATGGCCTGAATATGTCACCTGACATCATTTCAAATGTTGCAAGGTGTCGACAGCGATATAGATACAAGCCTGGTGTTGTAAAAATGCAGGTCAGAAACCCGGAAGACAAAATAGAAATTCTAAAAAAGAAGCAAATGTTGAAGAATGACGATCGCTTCAAAAACGTTTACCTCATACCGTCAAAATCACATGGGGAGAGATTGATTGAGATCAATTGTAAGGAACTACTGAATAATATACCCGGATTTGAAAACAAAGCGTACTCTTTTACCAATAGTGGGAGGCTGCAAATAGAAAGAGGCTCTACACGTGACAACTACAGACAGCAGCAAAATAACCCGAATAGAGAGCGTTACTGTGGCAACGAAGATTTCAAAGATCCCAATGGTGGCAATAATGACGCTTATCATAGAGATCGTTACTTCGAGAGCCACGACTCTGGACGTCGTTATTTCAACAATAGCGACAGGAATCCTTATCCTGCTTATGATCGTTACTATGATAATAAGCACCCTGGCTACGGAGGTCGTTTCGACAATGATGATCACAAAGGAGGCTATTACGGAGCTAACAACAACTTCAGAGGCCGCTATTATGATGATGAATATGATGTCAGGGAGATGAGAAATGATACTAGTTATTGGTAGGACAGGAGCCAGTCTCCAAGTGATCATGATGACGTTTAACGATAGCAGAATTGAATATAGGTGGTTGGTATGAATCGAATGTTAGTTCAGTGACATTCAGAAGAGATGTCATTAAAGCAACAAGCTATGATATTATTGCCCTTTGTGAAACTCACCTACAGCAAGATGGAAGTATTAACATAGATGGGTATACGTGGTATGGTAACAACAGGTCACAGGATATAAATCCAAGATGTCCCCTGGGGTCTGGTGGCGTTGGAATACTTGTTAAGGACTCTATATTGAATATGTATAATCTGACAGAATTGTATAAAGCATGTGATGACATTTATCTTGTGCAATTTTCAGATAAAAATGTTGATACCAATAGCTTTAAAGTATGTGTATGCTACTTATCCCCCCAAGGATGTAGTAGAGGTGACAATGCTCAACAATTTTATGACACACTTTTATATACTACTCACATATTTGATGATGATTTTCTACATTCTATTGTGGTGATGTAAATGGTAGAATAGGAAATTTGAATGATATTGCATATGATTCATTACCTGTACATATTCCAGAAAGATTGGCTATTGACGATGTTAAAAATAAGTATGGTAAATATTTTATAGAATTTTTACATGATAGCGATATGTGTGTAGTTAATGGTAGATTTAAGGGTTTAGATAATTGTACGGATTTGTCGAAAATAGGTAAATCTGTAGTTGATTATTTTTTCACACATTTACTGTACTTTGATTTATTTACATCGTTCGATGTTTTATTGGTTAGTGAGTTGGCTGAACGATTTAACTTAATGTTACCTTTAAAAAATAAGCCAGATCATTCATTGTTATGCTGTTCCATTAATATATCGCCGAGTGTACATTACAGTAAACCCATTGATCACAAGGACGATAAACAATGGCGAAGCACTAACATGTCGTGTACAGAGAATAATAAAATCCCGAATAATTAGGAAATTTAAATGATATTGCATATGATTCATTACCTGTACATATTCCAGAAAGATCGGTTATTGACGATGTTAAAAATAAGTATGGTAAATATTTTATAGAATTTTTGCATGATAGCGATATGTGTGTAGTTATTGGTAGATTTAAGGGTTTAGATAATTGTACGGATTTGTCGAAAATAGGTAAATCTGTAGTTGATTATTTTTTCACACATTTACTGTACTTTGATTTATTTACATCGTTCGATGTTTTATTGGTTAGTGAGTTGGCTGAACGATTTAACTTAATGTTACCTTTAAAAAATAAGCCAGATCATTATGCTGTTCCATTAATATATCGCCGAGTGTACATTACAGTAAACCCATTGATCACAAGGACAATAAACAATGGCGAAGCACTAACATGTCGTGTACAGAGAATAATAAAATCCCGAATAAACCATGGTGGGATGCCGAACTATCTGAGATGAGAAAAAAAACTTGTCAATGTTGAAAGACTGTATTCAAAGACTAGAAAGCATGAAGATAAGCAAAACCTTAGAATGCGTTATATACAAACCAGAAAAGATTTTGATAAGCTATTACGACAAAAGGAGCGGCAGCATTATTCTAATATACGTAACAATTTGTCTAATTTTAGACATGATGGATCGTCATTTTGGAAATACTTAAATGAGACTTTTCCAAAAAAGAAATCGATGAATACTTTTGCATCTGTGTTACTGGAAAATAATGAAGTTTCAACAGATAAGAATGTTATATTGGAAAAGTGGAAACAAGATTTTGAAACAGTTTACAAGAAAGATGATAATGATAAAATTGAAGTAGATAATATTAACGCATTGTTTGAGCTTGACGAAAATAAGCATATAGCAAAAGAGAATATTCAAGAAGACGAGTTGTTAAACAGTACCATTACTCTAGAAGAAGATATTGATATCAACTCGGAGATAAAGATAAAATCATTTAAAATCATATAATATCCTATACATATCCTTTACTGTGCCACAACTTTCTCATATGTTATATATTTTGGCACAGGCCATCATTTATTTTCCTTGAATTCATGCTTTTGTTCCTCGTTTTAGAAATGAGAGGAAATCTTTGATTTTCCTTGTATTTAAGTTGCTTAAATGTTGCCCTGTGATGTTGATAAAAGTCAATAGTAATCCATTACAGTCACATTTGAAATGTACCCATTGCTAGCCCAGAACCTACCAAAATAGCATTTGCATTTTGTCAATATTGCCCTATGTGCTTTTCCATGAAAATAATTTTAATCGTATCTTTTCTTCAGTATTTCATATATTACATTTTAATATATTTAAATTGGTTAATATTTATATAATATTTACTTAGACAACAATAAATAAAGAATTTTTTGTAAAAACACCAAAAATGGTATATGATCTTTAAATGACTGTTGTGTGAACATCAAAGGTCAAAATTCGCTGAAATTGTATTTTTATAAAGCACAAATGATTTTTCTTCAATATGATATGCATTATTATCAGATATCTTTGGGGGCTAAAAAGGGCACTTAATGACACCCGTCCTTTACAATTCACATAATCAAAATAACTTAGCGAAATGCAAGTACCATATTATTATGTCACCACCAAAAAGTGGTGACATATTGTTATGGTCTCCATTTTTTGTGACAGCGTCAGGTGGTTGGCGTCTGTAACAAATTCTTACAACTTCCAATAACTTAACAAATACTGTACTGTTTAGACTGACTTCAATTTTTTCTACATCATTTACAAGTTGTCAAAAGTTCAAATCTGACTTTAGATTTGACCTTCAATGACCTTCTCAAGGTCAAAGGGCGGTTGGGCGGGCGGGCAGGCGGGCGGTTGGGTGGGCGGTTGGGCGGGCAGTTAGGCGGGCGGTTAGGCGGGCGGGTGGTTAGGCGGGCGGGTGGTTAGGCGGGCGGGTGGTTAGGCGGGTGGTTAGGCGGGCGGTTGGGCGGGCGGGCGGTTGGGCGGGCGTCCCGAATAATTTTGTCTACAGGTTTCCAGCGAAACCGTTTGACGGATTCATTTGAAATTTTCAGGGATGTTTCTGCCTATGGAAGTTTAGAACTGATTAGAAAATGTGTATATTAACAACCCAAGAAGCACCAGAGAGTTAAAACAAGAGATAAGATGGTAAATAAGACCCATTACACAAGACATACGTGAGTGGGTGTCAGAAAACTTCACCAGTTGCATTCAAGTTTGCCTCCAAAGACAAGAATAGCCATAAAATGGTGACCATTTGCAATAGACCAATGAATCTTAGTAGAATGAAAAAAAAATTAAACAAAGTTAAGTTGTGCAAAATATGACTTCAAACTCTTACTGGATGATTCAACTATTAAGATTTATTTGAGTTACCTTTTTTGGCTCACCCTGTAGTAACTTAGCAACAAGGTTATGTACCTGAGGTAGTATCACCAGTTAGAAACTTAATACAGAGTAAAAGATTTAGATAACAACTTGTTTGAGAATGGAAAAGGTATATAATAATTAGATGATTGCGAAAGAATGCAGTTAGACCAAACACTAACTTGTAAAATGCCTGTAACTTTTTCCAATTTGTGAGTAGAACCATGATACTTGGCAAATCAATGTATCTTTGGATAAGCTTTAAAATGATATGACATATACTATACTTATACATCATTAATGGCAGAGAAGAGGAAAAAAATTGCAAGTAAATTTGACAAAACCAATTTCCCTTTTTGAAGTAAATGGGGGCCTGCCAATGATTAAAGTCCATTTCACGAGTCTATTAACCTCAGTAAAAGCTAAAACATAAGATATCAAAAGACCTGTATGCAATAATATTTGGAAAACTGCATTCAAATTGTACATAAATGACATTACTATATTTCAGATTATTTCTTTTTTGTGCAATAATCCTGTTGTTTAAGTAGGTTCAGCCATGTTATTTTTTATAAAAATAAGACTGCAAGTTTTATTTGATTTTAAATAGGATATTTGTTATTGTTCATTGATGTAAGGGGCATGCTGTCTGCTGATTTGTTAATGTTTAAGCCATGTGCACAGCAGCCATAGTTTTTAAGTTTAGCAGAAATTGCTAAAGTGTGCTTACAATCCCAAAAATTGAACATTTTGTACACATTGATTGACAATTCTATATATACCAGATAAAGATGGGAGGTAGCACCAAGAAAACAAGGAAAAATAGGCAAAAGGACGTTGAAAAATTGCCAAAATGGGATTTAGAATCGGAATCAGAAATAGAAAAAGGTCAAACTCAAAAGAAATTAGACCTCACCAAAGAAAGAGATGCCTTACTAGAACAAAGAGAACTATTATTACTAGAAAAAGAGATAAAACAATTAAAAACATAATCACAAGCTATCCGAGGCCGATGAGGAAAAGGCATTTACAAAAGGACCTTCGACTAAAACTACAATGAAGGACTTGCAAAAAGACAGCCAGTTGAACGATCTCATCTCCAATATGTTTGAAAGACCGGAGACATTGGCCCAGAATGACAACTCTGGCGCTGGTGCACGTGATGTTGGCATGAAAGAGACACCGCATGAGCCGACTAAGGGTAAGCCTTTATTGATTCCTGATTTCGTGACCAAATCATACCGTGCGGAGCCTGAAGTGCCATTATTCAAAGCTGGTTCTGGTGTACTCGCATGGCAGCCATCAAAAAACCCTAAGATCTCTGTCGAGAAAGTGACAGTGGCACAGTGGACAGCTGCTAATGGCCGAATTATGAAAAAACTGTTAAAAGATGGAATATCATATGAAACATTGATGGACTATATTGAATATACAACAAAGGTTGGAGATTATTTACAACAATATACTGTTAGCTCGGTCATGATCTTGGATGACGTCCACCGTAGATACGTAGCGGAAGAAAATGTCGCATGGAGTGATGTTAACAAACATTTCAAAGATCATTACCTCGTATCCATTCAAGAACCATCACGTGTGAAATCAGGTTGGAGCAAATTTCGTAACCGGCCCACTCAGCAGTAAACTAGATGTATGGGAACAAGAACTTCGGAATGATATTGATCGCGAATACATATTACAGGGCATAAGGGATGGATTTAAAATAATTGATGATTTCTCAACAGTGAAGGATGTTTTTGTGCGCAATAACAAATCGGTGGAGCAATACAAAGAACTAGTAGAAAAACAAATTTTACGTGAAATAAAGGATGGCGCTTATGTCTGTGTGTCTAGCAAGCCAAAAATAGTTAGTGCACTTGGAGCAATATTAAAAAATGATGGAAGTTCAGTGAAATTAATTCATGATGGGAGTCGGCCTGAGAATTTTAGCATGAATAGTTATGTTTCTCATGATCCATTTGTTTATGAAACCATTGATAGTGCATTAAAATTAATACCAGTGAATGGATACATTGCGAAGGTAGACCTTCGGGCAGCATATAGAAGTGTAAGCATTCACGACTCGTGCTATGATATTTCAGGTCTACAGTGGACTTTCTCAGGTCATAAAGAACCAACATATTTACTTGATACTCGTATGATGTTTGGAAGTTCAAAAGCTCCATATATATTCACTAAGTTATCAAACTCTGTGACAAGGATGATGAAACGCAGGGGTTTTTCTGTTATATCTTACTTAGATGATTTCTTAGTGACTGGTAACTCCAAAGAGGAGTGTGGAAAAGGATACACTGAATTGATTAACTTACTCCAAAATCTTGGTTTCAGTATAAGTTGGGAAAAAGTAGTCCGACCATGCCAGGAACTTACTTATTTGGGAGTGCAGATTAACAGTAAACAACGTACACTAAGCTTACCATCTGAGAAAGTATCTAACCTTCATATGCCATTGACAAAATGGATTAATAAAAAATCTGCTACAAAACTTGAGCTGCAAAAATTGATAGGGAAATTGAACTGGGCGGCAAAGGTGATACGTGGAGGCCGTACATTCCTCCGGCGCATAATCAACCTGATGTGTTCAATTAAAAGCAGAAACTATCACACAAGATTAAACAAGCAAGCATGCGCAGATATACAATGGTGGAAGGATTGCATTACTTTATATGAACAATCCAAAGACGCTGTTCCATTTATTGAGGATATTCCTCCCAATGGAATTTTTACAAGTGACTCATGCCTTGCTGGTGCTGGTGCGGCATATGCAAATGACTGGTTTTATGTTAATTGGTCTGCAGATTATCCTTCAGTGGCTGATTTACACATAAATGAGAAGGAACTTATAACTGTAGTCCTAGCAGCAAAACGCTGGGCTACATACTGGCGAGACACTCATATAGTAGTTTATACAGATAATATAGCTACAATGTTTCAAATTAATAAAGGAACCAGCAAGAACAAAACTGTCATGGAATGGCTCCGCACATTGTTTTGGCTATCAGTTCAATATAACTTTCATATTACTGCTCGCTACATTAATACAAAAGCTAACTTTGTCAGTGATATTATAAGCAGATTGACAGAGAAAAACTGTTTAAATAGCTTATGTAAAGTAGTTAAGGTGCCTCTATATTATAACATATATAACAAAGAACTTTTTTTTAATTTGTATGGGCATATGTCTTATTCTGCTCATAATATTGTATTGCAGGTTTGTTAAGTGAGTGGAATGACCTTATTAAAGAGACTTCTGGGTATAGACAGGCAGCATATGCAGATTCAACTAAGAAAACATATGAATCAATGCGATTGGCCTATTTGAGGTTCTGTACTTATTTTAATTTAGTTCCTGTGCCAGCTACACAAATGACTATTGTGGCATATGACATTTCTGGCTCGAACACTTAATCCTACAAGCATTCCTGGTTATATGAACATGGTAAGGATTATGCATGAATGTGTAGGGATAGCTAACCCTTTATTCAATTTTGATTACAAGACAGTGTTAAAAGGGATAAAAAGAACACATGGCAAGCCTCCAAAACAAAAGCTTCCAATCACACCAAAATTACTACACCAAAATTACTAAATTACTACTTTAGTGTTCTTACAACATCCAATCTTGACACTGCTTTTTGGGCAGCCTGCTTAGTAGCATTCTACACATTTATGAGAAAATCTACCTTAATACCTAAGTGTATTAAAACAGCATGTGAGAAAACATTGTTGATATCAGATGTGAATTTTAAGTCTGAGCATGAGATACTACTTACTGTTAGGCATTCAAAAACTATTCAGTTTGGTCAGAAAGTTCTTCAAATTCCACTTTGTGGATTGGCTGATTGTCAGGTTAATTTAGATCCTGTGGCTGCTATCAAGAATATGTTAAGCAGGATACCTGGTGGGAGTGGACAGTGTCCATTGTTCTCCTTTGTAGGGGAAAATGATAGAATCACAAGTTTAACATATAATTTGTTTGTAGGGCGCTTGAAAGAGTGCCTTGATAAGGTTGGTATAGACAGCAAATTGTACAGTGGCCATTCGTTTCGTAGAGGAGGTTGCTCATTTGCCTTCTCCCTCGGGATTCCAGTTGCATTGATCAAACTGAGAGGAGACTGGGCATCCAACTGCTATGAACGTTATGTCACAATACAGGAAGAGATGAATGTGAAGGTTTCTAAAGCTCTCTTGTTAGGAGCTTCAATTGTAGAGTAATGTTTGGGGATATCAATTGGCGAAATGTATGATACTTTGTACATGTATCTTTACTTTGATCACATTTAAAATAAATGTTTGAGATTATCCCCCAACATTGAGTTTGTAGATATATTTGGATTAACGAGTAATTCCATCTGTTTAATATAAAAATAAGACTGCAAGTTTTATTTGATTTTAAATAGGATATTTGTTATTGTTCATTGATGTAAGGGGCATGCTGTCTGCTGATTTGTTAATGTTTAAGCCATGTGCATAGCAGCCATAGTTTTTAAGTTTAGCAGAAATTGCTCCCACCCGCCCACTCCTATGTGATGTATAATACAAGATTGTATAAGGGTGGCGAAATGTATGATACTTTGTACATGTATCTTTACTTTGATCACATTTAAAATAAATGTTTGAGATTATCCCCCAACATTGTGTTTGTATATTTGGATTAACGAGTAATTCCATCTGTTTAATTCAAAAATAATATGGCAGAGACACATCAAAATATAAGAGGCCATACATTCTATTAGCCCAACCAGAAGCAATCCAAGATATACAAGTGTCATTTATGTACAATTTCCCATATATCATTGCACAGTGGTATTTTGATTTCTTATTTTTTTTAGATTTTACTGAGGTAAATAGGCTAGTGAAATGGACTATAGATCACTGGTCAAATGGGCCAGGGATGGTGATGAGTAGTCTACTCATCATACTGCTGGAATCCAGTAAACACTTTTGTACGCTCTGGTTGTGGGAACTTGTTCCCAATGCGTGTGACGACACAAGCTGGGATAATTATCCGCACATGTTCGCCAAGATATCCATGAATCCACTGCTGGAATTGCCTGTATGCGATGTGACGTATCTTTTTATGGTATGGACCATCATAGCCGTTTGGGTATTGTGACTTGTATCGTCCCCAAGCTGTCTCCAGTGTGTCTTCATTCAAACAAACAGGATCAAAACCTGGATGAACTGTTATACATGATACTGTCTTGCTTAAAACCACCACATCCTCTGTCACTGGTGTCTGTGTCTGTATATGCCTCGAAGTTCCAGATGTCTGAGCCATCTTCTCCAGCTTATCTTGCATGGTATCACTTTCTGTACAGCACTCTTGTTCAATGACTTTAGGTAAGACTGCATTTCATGCCACACCCTTGCACGTGGAATTATATAAAGTATAGAGAAATTCAATATTATACTAGTAATACTTGTGCGTTCTGATCCAGAAGCTAACAAGGGGGGGGGGCGTACATTTCAAGTCAGAAAAGTAATGCCCAAAATGGCCACTTATTGAGGCCCTACAAAATTTTTGCACTCAAAATATTTACCCCCATATTTTGACCCACCTCCACCCCACGCCCTTGATTAGCCAGTGTGAAGGGGCAGATAGTGCTGGGGGAATCAGAGAGCAAGAACAGAGGGGCACCAGAAATTTATTCAAAAACTATGAGTAAGTAAGTTACAAAATGTACTGAGTCACACGGACTAAGCAAATAGTTAACTACAGCTTCTTTCTGTAACCTATACACAACATTATTATCGCACAGTCTGCATAATGATAGACAGATGGTCGTATCAGTGTATTGAGACTAGAAGTCATGCACATTCCACAGCTAGCCTAGCATCTACACTTGCCTTTGGCAGAGCTTTTCCCCAGCTTTTTCCTGATATTGGAACAGTGAGAATCGATCTTTTCTGAGGTTAGTTTTCTAAGTTTTATACATTTTATTTTATGATTATTTGATTAAAAGATACAAGATGCATAGTTTAACTCACCAGTCATCCAAATTACACCTATAGTTTGGATCATTTTCTGGTAAACCAGCGGGAGGGACATAGTTTTCCGAAGATGGAGGGACATAGTTTTCCGAAGATGGAGGGACATAGTTTTCCGAAGCTGGAGGGTCGAACTGATAGGGCTACACTTGGACCACCTCTCGCACGTTTGACACAAAACTAGGTACATCATCATCTGATTCATCGTGGTCCCAACTAATCGGACTACCTTAAAATTGTATCTTATCGATAGCTTTTCAAACAGATTTTGAGTCAAAACAAGCCTACCAGTTCCAGAAAATCCAACTAAAATTCGTAATCATTCTTCTGCTAATTTAGCCCCTAAACAAATTGATGATTATTTGAAAACTGAAATTGATGCCAATAGAGTGAGCAGTACACATTGCGATATACCGTTGCCGCTATTCATTTCCGTTTGGGGATTATAAAGAAGAAAGAACCGGGCAAGTTTAGAGTAATTCATGATTTAAGTTTTCCAAAGCGTTCATAGGTAAATGATGGGATTTTGTCACGAGATTCATGTATTTTTTGTCAATCAATTGATAATGTTATGGAAGGTGGCCACAAGAGAGAAGTCGCTGATGCAAAAAAGAAATGGCCTGATCTTAAACAATACGCCAAAGAAAAAAAGCAATGGAGTCCAATGAGAAATGAAAAAAGGGGAGATGTAGTAATAAAAAATTACGAGATAAAGAATATTGTAAGCTTACATGTACTGTAAGCTTACATGTACTGTAAGCTTAGGTCTATTGCGTTTTGCTTCAAAGAATTATCAATATTGTTGATTGTATATCTTCAAGCCTGTGGTTCATCTAGTTTTGGTTTAGAAGTGAGACATCCAGATGTAACAGAGCTCACAGAGAACGACAGCGTCCAAGCTAAAAGATTTCAGGTCTTACAATGGCTAGATACCATTCCAGGGAGAGAGGGAGGAAGCGATCAAGATCCAGGCCCTGCCCACAGGAGAGAAATCGCAACAGAAGTCCTCCACAGAAGAGAGAGTACGTCAGAGATCCACAGCAAAAGGATTATTATCCCAAAAGCGCCTCCTGGCCG